GTCGTCATGAAATAGTGAGGGAATAAGATTAGTATAGGTAACGTGTCTTTATTTTATTTCTCAAGAAATACTTCCCACAACATAACTTTATCATACGTGGTTGAATTTGGCGTAACATAAGCTTTAATAAAATTTGAACATTTTTTTTAAAGTGTTAAAAAAAACAATGAGTGGTGGGGGTGTTTTGAAAAATATTATCATTAAAAAAAAATCCAGATACGCCATTATAAAGTACATTTGCAGCCATAAAATTTTTGTTTAAACATTTTTTCATATTTCTTTTCTTTTCAATTATATTCGCTTCGAAAAGTAAAAACCGATTTTTTATAGGGGATTGTTTTCATCCCTAAAATCGTGTTTTAGCACAAGAAAAATCGTTTCGTTATTAAGGCCTACTAGTCAATAATTAAGCAAAGTTTTCAGATTTTTTTGAATTTTTACGTTGCCGAAGGTTCCTTGTGAGACAAAATAATATGTACATAATATGTATATAAGATGTCTGACTCGCACCATACCAGAGCTAATATATAGTTAGAATAGGTCGGGATAAGTAATGGAATCGGTCTTTTTCTTTAAACAACGACGTAAAATTTCGAATTATTAAATAAAATAGATGCGCTAATCAAAGTGCGCGACGCGGCAAGCGGGAAATACAGTTCGCCGCGGCCAGCGAGGAAAAGAAACGATTGCTCGTGGATCTATCACGCAGTGTCAGATCTAAGACGTAGTCCCCACATTTGAGCCTATAAGTCCGCGAGCAAGCGTCCATTTTCTTCGCCGGCCGCGGCGAGCCGTATGTCCCGCCCGTCGCGTCGCGCGCTCTAATTTGTCCAACTATTTTTATTAATATCTCGAAATTTTACGTGGTTGTTTGAAAAATGACCTCTACAATTTTTGTTCAGTTTTATCTGTCCTACTTATATTTTTCTTTTGGCATGCCTTATGCGGGACACTCTGTATACAGAGTGTCCTATTTTACATGCCTTAGACAAAGATCTCGAAAAATATGGAAAATACGGATAAATATTTCAGACAAAAGTTATATGGTTCGATGTAGAACATAAGAAGGTACCATTGGTTTGACCTTGCGTGGCGTCGCCACGTCTTTGCCAAGTCAGGTCAAGCTCAACTTTGTTTTTTAAATGGAAACATATATTTTTTTATTACGGAATTTTATCCTGCGTGAAGATACAAACAATTTTTGTTTGAAGATATTTTTTATACGATCTCTATTTTCTAAGATATTTACGGAAATATCTACAAAATTAATATCTACAAATTTGGTTTCAATAATTTCTTATTCGAATTCTATCAACTTTACCGAAAAATAGTAAGAGATAAATATTGTTTATTTTTTACATATAGAGTTCTGAGAATTTTTTCAGAATTTTTTAATTAACTTTTTAGTACTTCAAGAAAATGCAAGAAAATGCAATAACATAGAAATATATATAATTATACAGTATAGATCCACCTCCGATGACCTTGATCTTGACATATGTTGTAGAGGTCACCCGCCTAAGTGACCTTTTGAAGGTTTTAGCCGTCGCTCGTTGTTCATTAAAAAGTTATTAACAAAAGAAGTTGCATAAAATGAATGTAATTTTTGGACACCGTATATACAAAACCATCGAATTTGTACGCTAGGAAGGTGCCTGCTACACACACACACACACACTGCTCGCCTGCAAGTGCGCTCGCTCGCCCGGTAGAGCGTGCTCGCGGTGGGTGCATATGTCCTATTATACATATACATGTATATACATATGCACGCATCGCGAGCCCGCCCTGTCGGGCGGGCGAGCGCGCTTATTGGCGAACAGTGTGTATGTTGTGTGTGTGTGTGTGTGTGTGTGTGTGTGTGTGTGTGTGTGTGTGTGTGTGTGTGTGTGTGTGTGTGTGTGTGTGGGTGTGTGTGAGCGCATATACATGTATTGTTTAGTATATTTAAATATATACTGTTTGTATTTTTTACGTTCAATTTATAAAACTTCTTTCTTTAATAACTATATTTCTATGTATATATAATGATTGAATTTATAAATGCAATAAAATGCGTAAATTAAATTATATTTTTAGATATGGAGTACATAATAGACATTACATCAAAGAAAGCATCTAATCGTTCATCAAAATTAAATGTTTCCTTGAAAACAAATTCTGCTAAATAATGATTAAAATAATTCTCTCTACGACCATATTTCGTAACTATACGAAAGACTGTCGTATACTGGCTTATCATTCCTTACAAATACGTTTCATAGGTTTAATGTCAACAATAGCTTATTTCATTTCGGTAAGAAATGTAAACAAAACAATACTTTTACTTATCGAACAATATGACAATACGAAACTACAATATCAATATATATAGTATCAGAAAATTATATTATATTCATTACATTTTCTTTATTAATAACTTTTTAATAAACAACGAGCGACGGTTAAAACTTCTTGAATATTATTCGGGATGATCAACTGTATAATATATCCGAAGATTATTAAAATCGGAGGGTGGCCCGTTATCCTGCATATTTTTACCCATATTTTTTATATTGCAACAAAAAGTGATATAGTAATAAGTAATGTATATTTTTATAATAAATTGATTTTGTTTAAAAGATAATAAATATGTTATAAAATATATATTTTTTTATTATTCTTTTTTTTACCTAACGAGTTCGACATATAATATAATCACGAGTTAGGCAGATAATATCTGACAGTATCTTCTAATGACGTTGAACAAGATAGCTGAAAGTCAATTTACCATGATTTCAACCTTCTCGCCCGCAAACTAACCTTACACTCTGTCTTTAAATTCGTGACGTAAACGGCGTCATGAATGCCTTAACATTTATATTAGATCGAGAGTTACTAGATATTCTGGAGCAGACAAATTCGTTTTTATAAACGCGTATATTATGATTATAGATTATCTGAAGAAATAGTAACGATTTTTTAACTGGAAGATTTTTAATAATTCAAACAGTTTATCGTCTACCAAATTATAGAATCTTTTAACCTCCAATTTTTTATGAAATTGAGATACTTATTCGCTCCAACGTGTCTCGCGCCCGTGCAAGATTACGACTCGGTATTTTTGAACATAGATAAATATTACTATTATTACTAAATAAATAGAAAATATGTAATTTAAAACAATTTTTAACTGCACTGTTATTTGTATAATTATTATGTTAACTATTTTACATAATTAATTTTTTAAGCAATTTAATATCTTATAATGTACCTTAAAAAAATAATCTGGCTTAAAACTTTAGTACATCACTGTGTGCACTGTGCTCTTCAAAATTTACATTAAGTACTTTTATATGAAAATACAGGATGTCCCAGAACAATTTACGAATCTACCGCTCCGCTTCTGCGTCTTACCGCACCATGTCGAGGCGAGATATAGGAACGCAGCAGTATAAGTATAGACAGTAGTGCGTTATCTTCCAATCGACATCCGCGCGTTATACGAGGGCTGCTCCGTAAGTTTTGCGACTTGACAACACTGGCGTTGCTAGGTAAAATCTAACCTTCCCATCAAAAAGTTTGATAGTTTGGAAGATTTTTTTACTCGAAACGTTTTGTCGTACGGAAGCTACTTGTATTGTTTACAGTGACTTGAAAATTGTGTCTCAGCGAAAAAATGGAATTAACACGAGAACACTTTCGTGCGATGATTTTTTTACGACTTTCGACGTGGATTATCGAGACAAGAGTACATCGATCAACTTGCTTCCACTTTTAGCAATAAAGCACCACACAAGGCCACTATTTGTCGCTGGTTTAATGAATTCAATTGTGGTCGTAGTTCGCTCACCGACGAACCTCGCGAAGGTCGTCCAAAATCAGCTGCTGTGCCAGAAAACATCGATGCTGTGCGTGAATTGATAATGCAAGATCGACATGTGACATACCGTGAGATTCAGGCATCCCTGGACGTTGGTATGAATTGCATACAAACGATATTGCATGAACATTTGGCCGTAAAAAAAATTTGTTCACGTTAGATCCCGCATAATTTGACAATTGCTCAAAAAAAGAATCGTGTAAATTGGTGCAAAAAAATGCTTAAGAAATTCGATCGAGGTGCGTCAAATGCCGTATATAACCTCTACACAGGTGACGAGTCATGGATCTATGCATATGAGTCGGAAACTAAACAGCAGTCGACTCTGTGGGTCTTTCAAAGTGAACCTAACCCAACAAAAGTTGTTCACGCTCGAAGCACTTCGAAACGAATGGTCGCCTGTTTTTTCGGAAAAACTGATCATGTGGCAACAGTATCCTTAGAGAAACATAGAACGGTCAATTCTGAATGGTACACAACCATTTGTTTGCCAGAAGTCTTCGGCCAAATAAGGAAAAACAACTCAAGACGACGAATCATTCTTCACCATGACAATGCGAGCTCTCACACATCGGCTCAAACAAACGCCTATTTGACCCGTGAAAACATCGAATTAATGGATCATCCACCGTACTGATTTGGCACTCAATGACTTCTTTTTGTTCCCGAAAATCAAGAATAAACTGCGTGGTCAACGATTTTCGACGCCAGAAGAAGCGGTTGATGCGTTTAAAACACATATTTTGGAGGTACCACTTTCGGAGTGGCATGGATGCTATAATAAATGGTTTGAGCGAATGCAGAAGTGTATTGATCATCATGGAGAATACTTTGAAAAACAATAAAGCCATTTTTAATGACAAATTACCGTGTTTTCCTTACTAGGCGCAAAACTTACGGAGCAGCCCTCGTATTACTGTGCCGCGCTGTGACTCGAGCGGTCCATTCAGCACATGCTTTTTCTTAACCTTTCGCAATTAATTTCTCAATTATTATGATATTATTACGAATGTCGCAAAACGGTATAGGACTTTTATGTTTATCTTGATCCGCTCTACGTTCTCACGACAGCTTTGTAGATTGTTCTGGAACAACCTGTGTGTGTGTGTGTATTCCAAAAAATAAATTATTTTAATACCTATACAAACTGGTATGTTGAGCCATTTTCCTTCAAGACTACAACTCACATCAGCAGAACCTCTTATTTTATAGCCTAGATTACAAGAGTAGACGAGATGAGATCCTAATTGCAATTCCATTCCTTCTGGAATATCACAATCCTGATCATCTTGGCATTGCGATCGATGTAATTTCCAATGACCATTTGGTGGCTGCAAAGGTGTTTTACAAAATCTTGTTATGCCAAGTGTTGTGGGTGTTACAGGAGGAAGCGAAGTTTGTACTAATGTTGATCTTGTCGTTGATGTCGTCATTGGCGGGAACGATGACGGCCATTTTGTTCCACCACACAAGTTTGAATTCTCGTCGGATCCATCAACACACTCGATTATTCCATTACAAAATTGATCACCGTCAATACAAGCTCCATAAGCGCAACGGAAAGCTGTTGGTGGACAACTGTGAACAAATTGATAGTTATATGACGTTTTTTGTATCCCCTAATGAAAATTTAATTTATAAAATTCAATAAATAAAAGTTAGAATATTTTTTATAAAAAATTGAAAGAGTTAATAAAAAATTTGGCTAATTATATGATATAGGGGAGTCAGCTCCAATCACTTTCTCCTTAAGATATATTATACAAATCACTTTCTTGAGTAACCTCTAAAAGGTTTTAGCCGTCGCTTATTATTTGTTAAAAGGTTATTAACAAAAATGTTTTGTAAATTGAACATAATTTTACATTTAATTATATATAGTAATATAGAAAATAGTATATGAACATATATGTAATACTATTATATTGCTATTCACAGACCTTTTCTATAAGCGGCAAAGGCACCGAGAAAGCGAGACAGACAATGTGATAGGTAATTATGTACTTCGAACGTTATATGCATGCGCTAGCATACATAGAAGAGGCTAAATTAAAAAGCTTTGTTTAATAACAAATATATTTATTTATTCGTTAAAAATATTGAACATAAGTACAAAATATTATTATTGAAAATATTTTACTGTTTATAAAATACAGAGGCTGCCACTTAAATCCAGACATGAAAATTTTTTTCTCGAAAAAGTCGTTTATTACAGAAAATATGTAAAAGTACAAAGAGATTATTTTATAGTTAAGTTAAGGGATCTTTTCTGAGTTTTTTCACTCAATGTAACCGCCCTGCGCCTCGATCACCGCCTCGATCCTGTTCCGAAAATGCGAACACGCCCTCTGAAATTGCGCCCGGTCCATTTTCGTGAATGCCGCTTCAATAACGGCTTGGAGGGAGGTCACGTTGGAATGTCTGGCTTTGTTAGTAACCCTCTCGACTACGCCCCACACGTAGTAGTCGAGAGGGTTCAGGTCGGGGCTATTAAGAGGCCAAAAATCCTTCGACCAAAACATCTCGACATTGTTCGAGAGCCAGTTCTGCACTAAGTGACTCATATGAGTGCGCCATCTTGTTGGAAGATATACGGCCTTCTTGCAGCCATATCCTCTATCCAAGAATTTCACTGTAGCTCTCAGGATCTTCACATAAACTTCCTTCGTGACCATTTTCCCCTTCTTGAAGAAATGCGATGGCATGACGTCGCCCTCACTCGAGACGACGCTTAAGACGTGGACACTTGGCCAGGAACTTGGTACTGGCCACTACGGAGACGTTCTCGGGGTCGTGGGCGAGCCAATCTTCTGGTTCATCTTGGCATCCACAATGAGAGATCTTCTCGTCAAAGAAAAACCTAATGCGGCCAGCAGCTGTGTGCTTCAGTGAACACATGTGCAAGTTGCAGCGGGTAAGTCTCTTGACCTTAGCGTCCTCGGAGAGCATCTGTCGGACCTTGAGGACGTAGAACTTGTATCTGAAGGGCTCTTGAATGATCCGACGAACGGTGGTGTCGCTCACTTCCAAGACGGTCGCTAATTTTGCGAGTGAAGTCCCTGGATCTTTTGAAATGGAACCTTCTGCTTTTCGAAGTGAGTTCCAGAGTCCATGTCCCCTTCTCCCTTACGTGTATTTTCCTCGCCGGAGTACAAGAGTCTACCTCGGACTCCTTCGAAGCGGCATACCTCTGGACAATGTCATACACTGTCGACCTGGGGTATCCAAAGAACTTGATTATTTCACTTGGTGTCCTTCCGACGCAGACACCTTCAATAACCGCCACTCTTCGGTTATATTCCGATGTCGACCTGAACAATTCGGCCATTTTGAGGTTATTAACGCCTTACCCACCTACCTTTATGCCATCTGGCATCTACTGCTGCATTCTAATATAGCGATAATATCAAATTCAAATTTGTTTGGATTTAAGTGGCAGACCCTGTATATGTATAAAGTATGAAATATAAGCACAAAATATATTAAATGCTATATAATATTAAAATAATGAAAGAGAGGGTAAAGAGTAATACTAAATTAATATAAAAGTATGAGAAGAATTTTTATTGAACACAAAAGATACGCGTTCATTGATGATAGAATAAAATAAGTTATCTATATTTTGTATATCTGAAATAAATAGAGCAAATATATAAATGGGAAACGTTATTTGCTTCCTGCAAACCATAGGCTATGATTCATTTTTATGTAGGTGTTGCTTATTCGCAAATCTAAAAAAAATAATTTACTTTGTTATTAACTATTGTGAGTAATCACATACTTTAGCTCATATTTTACAATATATTTACTTATGTAAAGATATCTTTTCAGTTCGTGTGGCCTTTCTTCCACATAAATAACAAGATCAAATTTTTTAGTTATTTTTTATCTTGTCATTGTTTTAAAATATTTCGAACAAATAACATAGACACAAGATTTTTACTATTACGCTCGTTACACACTGTCAACTGGTCAGGTTATGATGTTTACACGGAACGTATGCATGCGCATTTGCGTAGAAGTACACGATTTGTGGAAGTGAGAGATTGATATATGTCTGCACCGTAATGTTTGCGCTCACTTTCTCGATCCATTAGCAATATAGTAGTATTACATATATGGTCTTGGAAATGGTGCGTTCTCTCTCATTCGCGCATGATATGTGATTGCACATGTGTGAGTGAGAGAGAACGCACCATCTCCAAGGAAGTGCCTTCCTTTTTTACGTGAGTTTCTACCCCCATTCTTTAAATAAAGGCAAACGCTCGGTTTAAATATACAGGGTGTAAAAAATTAGACCGACAAACTTTAAGGGAAAATAGAGAACATAAAAACAAACATATTTTGTTAATAATGTTTTTCTCTACGACGCTTTGTTTTAATACTACAGGGTACAAAATAGAAATTTTATGATTTTAATAAAAAACAAACATATAAGTGGAGAAATTAAATTTATTTTAATTACAATAATATATATTTTAATCTTCAATAAACAATGAACACAAGAACGGAACAAAAATGCGCAATTGATTAGCTCAATTTATAATAAATGTTCAAAAATTCTTTCATTTGCTTCAACACAAAGATGACTATTTCAATACTGTTTATTAATGAAGCGTGCTTCATATTTTGTATTTACTTTCACAACTCTTATCGATGAGGCATTGAAACAGACACAGAATCGTTAACCCGAATTTCGACGATGTTATCTTTGTGTTGAAGCAAATGGAGGAATTTTTAAACATTTATTATAAATTGAGCTAATCAATTGCGTATTTCTATTCCGTTCTTTTGTTCATTGTTTTTTGAAGATTAAAATATATATGTGTAATTGAAATAAATTTAATTTTTCCACTTATATGTTTGTTTTTTATTAAAATCATAAAATTCCTGTACCCTGTAATATTAAAACGAAGCGTCGTAAAGAAAAACATTATTAACAAAATATGTTTGTTTTTATGTCCTCCATTTCCCCTCAAAGTTTGTCGCTCTAATTCTTTTACACCCTCTATTATGTTTATGACACACATACGACGCTTATACACACACAGATGTATAGAAAGCAAACGAGAGAGAGAGAGAGAGAGAGAGAGA